CAAAAAATATACTCAAAGCTCTTTATCAAAGTTTAGACTAGATTCTAAAGATATGACACTTTGACTATGGTGTGGAGACAAACTCCCGAGTGTGTTTTTTGCTTGTTTTTTTTTTCCCAATCTGGGCAATACATTAAGGCTACAGCTGGCTTTTCTAATCAAAATACCCATTAGTCTATCATTTCCCCTAATATCACTTAATTCAACATATTTCAATGTCTAACTTTTTTTGTAAAGTGAGTCATTATAAGTCTAGTCAACAGATTCAGGAAATTGGAAAAATAGAAGCTACTTAGGGCAACAGGTGGTATTTTTCCCTCCATGGTTTCTGTGATGGAAAAATGTTACTCACACTATTTATTGGTAAACATTCCTCAACAGACTCAAAAGAGAAAAAAAAATTGCCAGGTTTTATTGTTAAATAAGAAACCAGATAATTCATTTGTCTCTGCAACTGTTTAGAAGTGAAAAGTGTTACCTTGTGTTTAGTTGCTGAACTACTTCCACTGTATTTCTCAGCTCTTGGCCTGCTGCATGCAGTTCTTGGTGACTAGCTAATGCCTCCAGATTTAGTTCTGCAATCTTAAAGAAAATAAAGTGGTAAAAATCATCTAATATCTTGCAAAGTGTTTGAGGCTTAACAAAACAAAACAAAACAAAACAATCCAAGAAAAACCCACTCCAGTGGTGTTCTCTGCTTCTGTAGACAGTGGCTTTGCTGTTGCCACAGTCCCAGGCTGGCTTCAGAGTTACCAGATGGTTTTTGGCTGCTTAGCCAAGAAGGGCAATCTGTTACCAGCTGCTGATGTTGTCACATGAGTACGGGACAGGGCCAAGTAGGGCTAAGTGAAAAGCAATGGCAATTTTGCCTCATCATTCATTCCATGGTCACTTAAAATTAATTCTCTGCAAACACGCAACTTTGGGAAATGATAAAAGAATGGCTTTCATGGCAACATAAAAAAAAGGGCTTTTTATTGGTTTAATACAAAATCATGAAAAGTATTCGACTTATTCTTTAAAGTGAACACTTGGGAGTTTT